GTTAAAGAGGCAGAGAGGACATTCGATGGTCCTCACGCATTTTCTCCTTGCAATGAGTAGATGTTGCCGGAAGCAAATGTTTGCTTTTGTTTTTGTTCTGGTTTTTTTTTTTTTTTTTTTTTTTTTTTGGTGCCTGCAAGCAAGGGATTCCTTGTTCTGGGCTCCCTTCATTTTTCCTTTTGGCATTGGGATGCGTTCGAGGAATTTGATCTGTTTTGATTGTCTTCCCCTCTTCCTATTCCTGATTTTGTTTCCTTTGCTCTCTCTTCTCACCTTCGCTTTAATTCCTAACTGTATTCTGCGATTTCTGTTTCTGGCTTCGGCCATATTCGGCGGCCCGTACACGTCGGTCTCCTCTACCTCTAGAGTTTCTTTCCCTTTTGTCTTTTTTATCCATATTTATCGTAATTTCCTTTTCCGTTCTCTTTACCTCTCTTTTTCCTTGTGTCATTTTCTCTCATTTTTTCCGATTTCTTTTTTCCGTCTTTTTTTCGTTCGCTTTCAGCAACCTCCCTCTGCAAAGCCGAGAAGGAAATTATATATCCGGCATCAAAGAAACCGAAGAAAAGAAAATGAAACGGCGCTTGGCGGAGCAGTATTAGGCATAGCAATACTCATCTTTTCCCAGCGTTGGAACATACCTTCCGTCCCCATTTCGGCTCTCTTGTTCAACCTATTTTTGAGCCCCAAATGAAACGAGTAATCACCACCCAGGTTATGTAGTTATTTTTAAATCGGCAGCCCATTCACGATCTACATACGGAGTAGAAATCCGTTGAATAGAAATGACCCCGAAACAAGGAGCTAATGAAACCGAATGCAACCCACTCCGTAGTCCATGTGCCAGAACCAGCTGTTGCCTCCATCCCGCTACTTGAACCACGGATGAAGCGCTTGTTTCGGAATTAGGGCTGCATGCAGGGCTATGGCTGGGACTGACTTAGCGGGCCTATGTAAGCGTGGATTGTCGTGTTGCTGGTGCATATCAACGGGGAGGCTATGGTCTAATGATTTATTTCGAATATTAGTTTACTTTGCTTGCGAATTGTTGCTGCACTGTACAGTACATGTGCATGAGCGTAAGTAAAGGTTGGAATCAGGGGCTGGGATTTGCCAACCTTTTCTGTTTCCCTGGCTGTAACTCGCAAGGAGTGGAGTGGAACCATCGAACAATTTGCAGGTTGAAACCATCTCTCGTTTTCGCCTTGCGTTTCTCCCTGGCTTCCATGGTGCTACTGCGGACACTGTTTCATGGCTAGCGCTCTTTTTGGCCGGGGCCGATTCCATCTAGAACAAGCCAAAAATGGCCCCAGAAATAAGCTTGCCAACTGAGCCGTCTGGCTGAGCGTGCTGCGGATGTCTGACTGTTGCTCCAAGAAGCCCTGTGGGGCACCGGCGGATTATGTGCTTTATTTGCTGCTCGTCTTCTCCCGACTCCTTAGGATTCTTATTCTTGTTTTTGTCGATGCTTTTCTGTGGCGATCCGTGGATGGCCTCGGGCATGCGCACGGGGTGAGAAGATCCATTTCCGTCCTCTGTCGCCTCCATCTTCTCTGCCGTTCCCAATCCCCGTTTCAATTCGGGGCCAACAACCCTTTCGTTTCTCTATCGTTAAGCCATATTTTGTTCCTATTCTCATCGGAGCCGGCAATCTGGCATCTGGTCTCTAAACTTGATAATAGATCCTTTTCCGCCATTTCTCGTCGTTGTGGTGCGTTCCTGCTGCCCTTTCCCATCAGGTGCTGGGGCATCAGTATATCTCAACCACCATGGCAACAATTCAGGAGCGGATTGCGGCCTTGAACCAGGCGCATGTTGGACGAGGACCAGTTCCTTCTCCTCCTCACGAAATTAGGCCAGATTTACCTGGCTCAAGACCTTCGATGTCCGGTAGATACGTGGCGCCAGCAAATGAGTCGCGTGCCCCTCCCGTCCCAGTCAGAGACCAGGAAATACTCCCACCTCCATCCATTACAAGGACGGGTCAGAAGTCACCTACCACGACAACTAAGCCAAGGAAACCACCGCCTCCTCTCCCTACGAGAAAAGTTACGGGGGAGCCATCACCTGCGCTACCCCCGCGCAAACCGGCCGATACACACACCCGCAGAAACTCAGGAGATTCTTCGTTGTCCGCCACCTCTATATCGACAAGGGCAACGACAAGCTCCTCAGGAAATGGCAAGTCGCCTTCTATTCGGTCCACATCAACTGAAAGTTTAACAACTCGCAAGCTTGCCCCAGCATGGGGAGAAACTGCACTTCCCCCATTGCCTCCAAAGAGAAATACGAATACAGATGGGAACCCGACGCTGAAATCTCGATCGTCTTTGGGGGTGCTTGATAGCAACTGCAAGACATCCTCCTCATCTCTCTCGTCTCTGACACCAAAATTGCCGCTTCGATCGCATTCATCCAATACCAATGATCTACCGGCAATCCCACCGCGGAAATTTGCAATTAAGGATTTGGATGCCCCGCCGCAATTACCCCAGCGCAAAATTCCGCCACCTGCCCCGTCATTCAAGGCTATTGAAAAGATAAGGGAATCCTCCTTCGCTACTCTGAAAAATGCTTCAATACATCATGGGCTAGTTCCGAATGGTGATACACATGGACAAAAAGCCAGTGGCTCACCGCCTCCAATTCCTCTGGGTTCTCGCCCTGATTTGTCGAAAATACAGGCAACTAAACCACGAATGCCTTCTTGCTCCTCGCCCTCTAGCACTGGCTCAACAACAGTTTGTATGATATGTCGTGACTTCTCCGGACCAGATTCGCATGCCGCACGATTTCCAAGACAATCTCTTCCTACACAAGATCTCTCCTGGTTGGCCAACCAACTTACCGCTCCCTTCTCATCTCTCACCGACAAAGCTCGTGCAATATTCACTTGGTTACACCATAATATCGATTATAATGTCGACGCATTCTTTAACAATAAGTTGAAATCTTCAACGCCAGAAAGCACATTAACCACCGGGCTAGCTGTTTGCGAAGGGTATGCTGGCCTCTTCGAAAGGTTGGCAACGCTTGCTGGATTAGAGGCGCGAGTAATTACAGGTCATGGCAAAGGCTACGGCTACACTCCACTCGCCCCAGGTTCGCCGAAACCTCCATACGATGGAAACCATGCGTGGAACGTTGTGCGGATTGACAATGGACAGTGGAAGCTTATCGACAGCTGTTGGGGTGCCGGGAACGTCAGCGGCAAAGGCCAGCCGTACAACCGGGAATTCACACCAGAATATTTCACCATGTCCAACGATGAATTCGGCAACAAACATTTCCCAGCGAACCCTGGAGATTTCTACCGAGATGATGGCCGTCCAAGTATATCCTGGGAGGAATACATCAGCATCAACCCCTCTTGTCCAAATGGCGTCGAACCTCCTATCTTATACACCGGTATAAAGCAAGAGCATGGAATTGGCGAGAGGTCTCTTCAGCCACGGTCGAGGAAGATCGCCGTCCACCAGCCCGGCCCAATACGTTTCCAATTCGGCCTCATCTGCGAACACTGGACGCTTGCACGCAGCAACATCCGCGCGCCGTGTCTTTTCGTTTTATTCGCTAATGGTGTCGACGGGAGCGGGAAAGAGTACATACCCTTCCACTATGTCCGTGGATCTGACCCAGGTGGTGGTGGTGACCATTGGTACGTCGATGTTCCTGACCCTTGTGTCTTGGGTGTGCCTGGACAGAAACTACACATCTACAGCGTAACGAGCTTTGGGGATCTAAAGGATACGCGAGGCCTTAGTAGAGAGGAGTTTCTTCGTGGTGTAGGTAGGAAGGCAATGGGATTTGGGGGTATTGCGGAGTGGGAGCTTGTATGATCAGGCCGGATATCTTTATTATTCTTGTTTCATTTCTTTCATTCAGGCATCTGGTTTTCTCGGTTTTTATTCCATCTCCCTGGCCGCGATGTGACACATTAAATGTTTATTTTTCACCAGTTTCTAATATACCTTTCTGCGTTCCCATTCTGTCATTATGCGGCATTTTTCTCTTTCTGTTTTCTTTCGTTTTGCCCTTTCCCTTACCTTTATGAAAGACTGAGGAGAATGAGCAATACAATCTTACGTGGCACTTTTAATTCTAACAGGCCCTAGATCGCTACACTTTTTTCCCAATATCAATACCATCTATTTTAATACACAGAAATTTGCTGTGGTTTCTGAGCTTTCGCCCAGTCAAGAACACCAATAGAGATGCTTTTTGCGTGTACGATCAGAGTAACAAAACTGATGACTACTTATGCTTTTTCTTTTCTTTTCTTTCTTCCTTTTTTTTTTTTTTTTTTTTTTTTTTTGCTTTAGTTGAAGCACCCTTACATATTTATCGGCCTGGTTTGGGTTTGTCTGTATTCAAAAGCCCAACTTTGCTTCGACATCCTCTTCTTTATAGACGAAATTTTAGGACATATGTCACATCTTTTCTCGTCTTCTCGTCACCAGGTTTGATTCTCCCTCGACATGGCGCATGGCTTCTTGCTGTTGCTGCTCTGCTGCTACTGCTACTACTCCACGCGCTAAGCTATGCGTACCCCATAATGGTACCAGCACATAGTTGGCGAAATATCTAGCGCTACCATTCAAGTATTCCAACCATTTCCGAAACAACAGTCTATGGTTGCAGGAAAGAGGCCCAGGGCCGTTTCCAATGCCACTTTTCCCAACCTGCTAGCAGTGGCACCAACGAGAGTCGACGACGACGACGACGACGACGACGACGGGAACGGAAACTCATCCGCCCCTGTCCTGCGGAAGAAGATTCAAATCGAACATTTGAGTCTTGCATCCGTCAGATACGTGTTCGGGCCGCTGGGCAACGCAGCGCCTCCCATTCGTGCCCACTGATGTCGCAAAGTGGTTTTCAATGATATACAGCTTATACAGCTGTGCAGCTATAGTTATTGAGTTCTATCGAATTGCTGCTCGTTTGATTCAGGCATGTACCTCATCCAGCAAGCTATCCTATCTGATGTAGCCTCCTATATCCCCTTCCCCCCCCCCCGCCCCCCAACGCTAAAAGTGAGGTGAGCGTATCCTTTTCCGCCGCGGGGATTATGTGGTTCCGCGCGCCCTTGGACAGGTCTAGGTCGAAGATCAGTCTTGTTCCTGTGGCGCGGTGTGTGAGCAGCTAGGACATGGAAGGGCAAATTAGCGTCTCATCCGGTCCTTGGACGACTTCTTCGACGTCTAGATGGAATATATGACGTTTAAGTTTCCATAACATGATGGGAGGGGCGCATCGATGCTGCAGGATTGGGATACGGGTTTTCGATACCACATTGCGGGAGAGATCCCACAACAGATTTTCTTTTCTAAAGCGGAGCAGGATGAACCGGAACAACCACCCACAACCCTTCTCTCCACTCAAAATGCTTGGAGGATGAAGATTTTCCGCAGTGGAAGAATCCTGCAATTGGCCCTCGTGGTCGCAAATGGGAAGGGAACTACCCGATTTCACAGGTGTCTTGACATCCCTGGCTCTTTTTCTGGATATGGGGTTGAAAGTGATCTCAGCGTCAATGAGGAAAACACATGAAAACAAGCGCCCATGGTAGCATAGACGTTTCAGCATCACATACCCCAAGATGCCAACGACGACAGATAGTCCGTGAAAGCCTTGTATCGTCATGATTATCCGGTGGGCCATCCTATGCAAGCGGACACATTTTCTGAAAAGTATCCTCTCGCGTTGACCGATTTACTGACAGGACAAATTTTTTTTCATCTTCTGACACTTTCGTGATGTTAACGATACGGCTGAAATGAGGAGGCATATCGTTAGATATGGAGATAGAATAGGAATGGCAGTGGGAAATATAATACAGGGACAGATAGAGGCGACGAAGTCTATGTCTGCACTACATAATCTTCAATATCCTCGATCAGAAAACTAAGGCCAAAAAAAAAAGGAGAAAGGTTAATAAAGTAAAAGGATTAGGGCGCCGAGTCAGCAATGGATATGGAATACAGCAGGGGATGATAAAAACCCTTCAGTACACCTGCATTCTACACAGTAGTCCAATAGGCATATCGCCCCCAATTACCCCTGGAAAAGAAATTTGGGCTGCAGATGTAAAGCAGAGCCTAGCCAGCGATTAGCTATACAGTTGCGAGGTCATTCTGGAATTGTATGTGCTTTTGTGCCAACATCTGATTTCTCCCCCCACCTTCTTTCACCGAGACTTCCTCCGAGAACAATTCCACTAAGCACAGTTCAAACTTGTCCTTGGGGCACGTTACATAAATGCATACCCCTCGCCGTCGGGTCTATTTTTAGCAAAGGTTTCCTCTTGTGCTACCCTTTAGATTGTTGCGCAGCTCTGGCGCAGCTTGGCTCAGTTGTTCCCCATCGGTTGGAGGCCGAGGAGCTGAGAAGAAAGATTTTCTACCACTGGAGAAGCGAGGGAGAAGGTAGGAGCGAATACCCAGAGTGATTGTAGTAATGACACCGATTAGGGATGTTTGTAAAAACGGCTCGCTTTTAGCCCCTACCTTCTGGGGCGAGCGGGGGAAAATTAAACGGGTTGAAAAAAAGGAGATCAGATCTTTCCCCTGAGCGTCCAGGCTGCCGAAATTGAACGGCAGTCCAACTACAGATTACTATGGTATAACCCTGAATTTTCGTTAGGGTCACCCTAATATTATAGTGCCATTCTAACGTTCATTCTGGGGGGTAAACATGGCATTCTCGCGTTGAGCGTGTTTCTCATTATCTGTTCTCTGTAGAGGAATCAAAATCATATTAATATCTAGTATAACCACCATCTGCCTGTATAACTGTCTGACAACGAGCTGGCATCTCTGCTATAAGTTCCTGTAGCTGCTCCTCTGTAATAGCATCCCAAGCAGCTCTAACCACTTCTCTTAGTGTATTATAAGAAAGATTATCTTCATTTCCATGATTCTCTTGTATCCACTGCTTCATAAGATTCCATAGTTTCAATTGGATTCAGATCTGGGGAATAGGGAGGTCAATCTATAGGGGTGATTCCACATTCTTGAAGATCTTGAGAAGTCTCTGCTGCAGCATGCCCTGGAGCTCCATCTTGCATCAATTTCAACCCAGGATTCATTTGCATCCATCCATGAATAAGAGGGACTATACGTTCGCGATAGGAGGTCTAGAAGAAGAATAGATTAGCTTTATTTCCAGAATATAATCAATCATCTTACCTTGTTGATGGTTCCTCAATCCTTTTCCCAGAATAAGCAGGGCTCCTTTGTAATTCCATTAAAAGCTCCCCAGAACATCCACTCTCTTTTTCTCTGAATCTTATCTATTATACAGATAGGATCAAGTGCTTCTCCTGTCCTGCAAGTCACCCAGGTTCTTGTATGACGGCCGGATTTAACCCAAGTCTCATCAGTCCAAAGTATAAGAATCCATTGCTCAAAGGTCCAATCTTGATGCTCCAATGCCCATTGAAGTTGAATATCTTGCACTCGTATGGATAGAGGTGGCTTTCTTAGAGCTATTCTGTGAGAATAACCTCTCATCTTTAGTGCTCTCCCCAGACACTTCTCATTGATCTCAAGATGAAGAACAACAATGAGTTTTTTGTATGACATTTGATGGTTGACTCTGGAGGCTGTGATGAACTCTATAACCTCATTTACTTGCTCCTCAGTAAGTTGACTAGGACGGCCAGTATGCTTCTTAGGAGTAGCTGTACCAAGTTCACATGTGTATTGAACTCCTTGATAGGTGATCTTAAGATGATTGGAGATCTTTTCATAAGTCCATTCAAGACTGCGAAGAAGGAGGATATCTTGACGTTGATCGCGGGTTAATCGCTTTGTAGGGGTGGTGGGGGCTTCTGAAGGTGTAGTAGGAGCTTCAAGAACAGCAGGTAAGTCCATCTTGATTAATAGAATAGAATAAGAATGAGTATAGAAATCGTGTACGGAGGTACTGACAGAGGTAAGAAGAATGAGAAGCTTTCTTTGCTCAACAGCGTACGGAGTACGGAGTATTTATGGGCATATTTGAGACGCGCCACCCCAGAATGAACGTTAGAATGGCACTATAATATTAGGGTGACCCTAACGAAAATTCAGGTTTATACCATAGTATATGGACCTTCCGGACCCCCGACATGCGGATAGTCCGAAAAATACTCCATTTTGCGTATAAGATCAACCATTAAGGTCCCCCAGCAGCAGCCATCTCGGCGGAAGAGCGGAAGAGAGGAATATCAAGTCCGCACAGCATTCAAATTTAACCCTTGTTCAAAATTCTTCACATCTGGACAAGGGACAGCAGATGTACTCCGTTAGGTTGGCGCATTGAGCAAAGAGCCAACGATGGAGTAGACTAAGAAGAATGAAAGACATGGAATCGTGTTGGCTTGGGAATGGATTGATAAAAAGGTTAGACTAATTGCTGTATGGTCAGCTTTCTTCGGCATTTTATCCCTAATAATGTCAAGCTTCTTTATGACTTGGCCGGAGTCAACCTAGGGGCAACCCTACTAGGATGAGCCCGGGGTGTACTCCTTCGTCCAAGCTCACCACTAGTTATGCAGCATCAGTTGTCAGCTAATTCGGCTTCAAGGGTTCAATCAGAGGCTGGGTATAACTGACATGTGAAAAGTGATTGTATGCACCGTACACAGGACATGCTGCCTACCATGTTTCATTTCCCTTTCCTGATTTGTCGTCATTTTGCATGTGCATCGCAGGTTTTGAACGGCGCCACGAGGATAAGGGCACGATATCGGGTTAAATTTCCAGCTTTGGAGATCTCGGCGGGATGCTGGCTCGTAGCGTCATTGAAAATAATTATCCCAATCAAAATGGATGCCTTTGTAGTATTTATCAATTAGTTACTTTTCTGGCAGCCCCGTGGGATCTGACATATTTGGAATTTTGGGTCGAGTCGCTGATCACGGTTGAAAATAGCGACGGAGGAGGACTTGTGGACGCTGATGGAGAAGGGCAGTTTACCCCGTTCTAAGTTATGGCCCCGCAAATTTGACGAAGACATCTTTTTAAAGCATGGAAACATGAAGCAAATACTGCTATGTGGAAGTCACTTCTGCATATTAGAAAGTGCGGGGCTATATGATACCCTTGTGAAATCTCTGAAGTATCCTCGTAGATATCTAAGATATCTTAAAGATTCAAGGTGCTGGATATCCTGGAAGTTTTCAGCATTGGTTTCGGACAAGGAAACTAGTAATTCTCACACATCACCCGAATGTATAATTTGCCTCAGGAATTCCTTGGAATATAGAGAGAGAGGAGTTAAGTTCGACGTGTTTCATGAGAAGAATCGCTGGTCGAAGGATCCGTTTCTCGAGCCCTTCGGGAGAATCACACTGACGATCACAAACAAAACCTACTTCGCACTTGACGCTTTCTTGGGGTACCAGTAGGGCCAAGCGCGCCGTGGCCAAAATGAACAGGATGAGCATACCCCCACTCGCGGTGCAAGTAAACATGGTAAGAGTTGGCTGCATAACAATAACGGCCCCGGTCAACGCCACTTCTGTCATAATAATCATCATTCTTGATTTGTAACTACCCGTTCCCCGCATCGTCAAGTGACTTTTGCACTGGGATAAGCGCGAAGACAAGGCGGGGGAACCGACAAATTTTGTGGACGAGATACCAACGTCAGTTCTGGCGGGCACTGGCGTGGGTGACACGCCAAAGATCTGTTGAACTATGAATATGGACTCAGCGCCTCTTATACTACTGGGGAGGTGAAATAAAAGTCCAGTGTCGGTATGCAGATATCGCCATTGACTTCCGTTATTTTCAGGTTTATTCGGCTCTTTCGCCCTCTTTTATTCGCATTGGATTGTTTGTCTTAAAGAATGCGCCTGTTTTCAATGGTTCTTTCCTTCCCGCCGTGTAACGGAATGATATTCCATACCACTTCTTAAGCTGCCGTAAGGCAGGGAATCAGTTCCCGACACGCTCCAAATGTCAACGGGAATTTTTCGAGTCCATGATAGGACGGTGAGTTCACTTCTGGCAAGTGATTCCCTGCGGGGGGCTGTCAATGCCAGTCATTTTGGCCAATACGGAGCTTTCGGCGAAACATCCCAAGTGAACCCTGCAAGATGGTCAGCTCGATATTTTGTATATGAAGGACTGGAACGGGCTCTGGTAGCTAGCCTTGGCAAAGCGACTTTGTCGCATGACCAGGCTTTCCTTTGACGTCCTCGCGAACCTGGCAATTGCACAGGGTTAGCCAGTTCGCCCAAGGGATTGGGTCAAGCACTGCCTGGATGCAGATTAGTCCTTGATTTTTTACCTGAAGGTGGTGACTAGCTCCGTCCTGCTTGGGCTTCTCTCTAGAGGCTTGGCTAGAAAACCCGCGTACTAACATGAACGGTGATTCTGGGGTCTGTATCTCGGAACCAGGCCAACCCATTTTTCCCACAAAGGTCCGGTACTTGCGCTTTGGTCAATATATAATGACTAAATGCGGTCTAACTAGCGTAACAGCACTAAGCAACCTTGTTTCTGCGATATTCTACATGCACATTTGCTTCCTTTGGAGATTTTGACAGCCATGGTAACCCCGAAATATTCTCCCGATGGCCCTCAGCATTCCAAGAACGAAAGGTGAACATACAGACTTAATCTACAAGAACAACCAAGTTAGCAACCATGAATACTCGAGTAACTTGTTCAGGATGTTGAATGTTGAATTGTTTCATTCACAAAGCTAAACACGGAATTCCGGGATGGGCTGAAGCTTGTCAAACAAGATACCACACACACCCCTCTTAACTTCGAATAAAGAAGTAAACAGATCGCAGTTGTAGCAAGGTCTTCAAGTGGGGTCGGCAATATGGCCTGGAGGCCAAGAGCCGGAGACTGGTTGTCCTTAGCTTTGAAGGAGTTCCTCTTTTGGCTTTCCCTGGCAAATGTTAGTTAAAAATATGGGGAAAACTGGCGGGCTTACGCTGGATAGAGCTAAGAAACAAAAATTTGATCCGACGAGGCCACAGGCCCACAGCTAGCTCGAGCTCGCTGAGTTACTGGTCAGAGACGGTTTGGCAGCTAGCCTGTAAGTGGCTTACGGGACGTCGATCCAAATAGGAGAGGCTGGAGAATCCTGGCTTTGGCTGTTTTGGCATGAAAATAGCAACTCTGAAAACGAGGATTCCCTGTTGATGCAGAGACAATGGCCTTGCACAGTACTGTATATACCTCCGTCAGGCGTTGGCGTGTGTGCAGCAGTTGCGCAAGAAGGCCCGGAGGTCCACGCCAGGCTGGCGGGTGTCACTGTTGCGCCCGTCCCCGTAGCTTGTTTTCGGCTCGATCAGGTATATAAACACCTTTAGTCCCCCTTCAGCTGGGCTTGTTCTACCTTGACCCCTTTTCTTTTCTTTTTTTATTTTTTTTGGTGTTCACACTTGGCTGCAACCAAACATACACCAAGAATACAGACCTGAGCAGTTGTCCCTTTCGGGAGAAAGGGAGCACAGCACACAACATGGGGTCTCTCAATGGGAATATCTACCTGATTGCCGCTGTGGCGGTGATAGGAGGTGGCTTGTTCGGTTTCGACATCTCGTCCATGTCTGCTATTATCGGCACTCAAAACTATCTTTGCTATTTCGATCAAGCTGGGCCAGGTGAAACCGAATGCAAGGGCCCGAGGGCAGATGTTCAAGGCGGTATCACGGCCTCCATGGCTGGTGGTTCATGGCTTGGAGCACTTGTATCCGGCTTCTTGTCTGATATCCTGGGTCGCAAGAAGTCCATTATGGTTGGCGCAGTTATTTGGTCGGTTGTTGTCCTACCTAACCCCCTTTCGCGTGTTGGAAAGAGGTAAATCGCATGGCCATGTTTAGCTGACCCTCCTTTTTCACTACTAGGGTCATCGGTTCTATAATCACCTGTGCCTCGCAGAATATCGCCATGTTGATTGTTGGCCGTATCATCAACGGTTTTAGTGTCGGTATCTGCTCCGCCCAAGTCCCAGTCTACATTGCAGAACTGGCGCCTCCCTCTAAACGTGGCCGGCTAATTGGTGCGCAACAATGGGCTATTACTTGGGGAATTATGATTATGTTCTAGTAAGTTTCGCGTCACATATGATCCCCTTATGTTCTCCTACGTCCCTTGCTCTGCCCTACAATATTAATACTAATAAATCGGATTAGTATCTCCTATGGATGCAGCAAAGTTGATGGCCCAGCTGGTTTCCGGATTGCGTGGGGCCTGCAAATGATTCCAGCTATCCTACTCTTCTTTGGCCTTATTCCTCTGCCTGAATCACCGCGCTGGCTTGCTCGCAAAGACCGTTGGGATGATTGCCTTGCGGTGTTGACCCTGGTGCACGGCAAAGGCGATCCACACTCCCCTTTCGTACAACGCGAATTCGAAGAGATCAAGGAGATGTGCGAATTCGAACGACGAAATGCTGATGTCACCTACCTTGAGCTGCTTAAACCAAACATGATCAATCGCACTCATGTTGGTGTTTTCACACAGATTTGGAGTCAGTTGACTGGCATGAATGTTATGATGTATTATATCACGTTAGTGGACATCCAGCAGCTACATTGTGGTGACTCGTTCTTCACCGTTGGAATGGTTCTGCTAATTACTCTCCATTTTAGATATGTTTTCGGAATGGCTGGTCTCACAGGAGACACCCTGATGGTTTCTGGTAGTATCCAATACGTCATCAACGTCGTGATGACAATTCCCGCTCTCCTGTGGGTTGACCGCTGGGGTCGCCGTCCCACCCTCTTAGTCGGAGCCCTCTTCATGATGATTTGGCTTTTTACCAACGCTGGGCTTCTTGCATCGTATGGACATCCTGCACCAGAAGACAGAGCCATCGAAGCAGAATCCTGGTTAATCAGTGGACCTCCCAGCAAAGCTGTCATCGCGTGCTCCTATCTGTTTGTCGCGTCTTTCGCTCCAACCTGGGGTCCTGTTTCATGGATTTATCCACCAGAGCTGTTCCCTCTACGCGTCCGTGGAAAGGCCGTTGCTCTTACCACCTCCTCCAACTGGGCTTTTAATTTTGCCCTCGGCTATTTCGTTCCCCCCGCGTTTGTCAATATCCAATGGAGGACCTATATTCTCTTCGCCGTTTTCTGTGCAGCCATGTTCATCCACGTCTTTCTCATGTTTCCCGAGACGGCTGGTAAGACACTTGAGGAAGTTGAATCGATCTTCACCGACCCAAATGGCATCAAGTACATCGGAACTCCCGCCTGGAAAACACGGGTTGACTTCCACCGTGCAGCACTGCTTGAACAGACCGGTGTCAGAGATGAGGAGAAGCTTGCAACAAACTATCATGAGGAAACAACTAAATAAACAGCTGTCTAGGGCCCTGGAGGTGACTTGAGGAATTGTCAATAAATAGGGTGTAGTTTGAAGCTCTTTGTCGTTCTCTTCCTTTGAGATCTATGTAGTATTCCCCTCTCGCGCGTTATTACAATCTCCGTATCCCCTGGCTCAACCTGTGTGGACATGGAAAACTCTGTAACCGCCAGAGTCCCGAGAAAACCCTTTGAAAGCAAGGGAAGTGATAATCCTGCGGGAAACAGAAATATTGTGCAATATAATACCCACTGCACCCATTGTCCACGGGCCTTTAATTTCTTTGTAATTACCTGTTTTCCCTCCGTTTCTATGGCTGCTTTATGCCATTCTTCTGTTTAATATTCAAACCGTACATACAACGGCGCTTAATAGCTTTTACATAGGGTGAACATCGAATATAAAGTTGTTACTACTTACTAACTATTCCGATTCATACATAATTTTGCCAATACTGCCAAGCAACGGCTCTGGCCTTCTGTTCGTGTCGATAGGTCTTAAAAGTTGTTTCTTTACACTTGTCCCGCATGTCTGTATGGAGGCAAACAGGTTGTAACGAACGGAGCTCAATCCACGCCGCAAAGAGTTCTCAACTGGCTGCGGAGAATCTTGGTCTTTAAATAACTGTTTGGGTGAGGATATATGGTGGAAGAAATAGTTCTAGGCCCTGCAGCCCCTATGGCCCGTCTGGCCACACATTCTTTTCTACCGCTTTTCGTTTGTTGAACTCTAGAATCATGGATATTCCTCTCCGCATCCGGGCTAAATATAGTTCGAGTACGGAATATGAACTATCGAATCGTTGGATATATACTGTGTGGTCCGGCATGAAATTTTCAACAAGAAATTGTTCATATGAGTGAATTTTGGAAAGGTATTGCCTCTCCGCCATGGCTTTTAACCAGATCCTAAAAATATTCTGACCTGTTTCCTGTTTGCTGTCTGGTGGTTGTTCACTCTGTATGTCGCATAGACAAGTTGAAGACCGAAGTCTATCCCACTTCTATCCCACTTGTCTTGTGCCTTTGGACGCAATCCCAGGAGGGAAACCAGAAAAAAATATAAAATAAAATAAAAAGCGGAAAGAAAAATGGTGGAACACTGGGCTGGAAACCCCTTAAGTCCCCCCGGCCCCTACTCCACGGGAGCTTTTTAACTATAATAAGGCACAGCCTAAGCTGCCGATGAGGACGTCCTCATACAGTGCCCTGGCTGAGACAGGCTAAAAAAAGGAAAACAAAAAAAGCCAATCTATGAAGATCGCAAAGGCAAGCGGTATTAGACAAAACCATTGGTTACCATGTTGACCCTGTAGGCTCTTGATGTTCTTCCTCTGACTCTGAACCTGGGAATATATGTTGGGGGAACCAGAGATCAGAATCCGTAACCAACTCGTCTTCAACAAAGGACCTATATGTAATATGGTGGTGGCCAGGACATCTAGCTTGTTGCTCCATTTAGCTCACCGAAACAACTGTAAAAACTTGGCATGTTTATCTCCAAGCGCCACGTAGGGTAGAGAAGCGTTAGCCTGTCGAACGTGAAACAATAAATATGTTGTGTTTTAATCCATCTTCAATCCGTCGAATCCCACCAGTCGCAAATACCTCAGCAAGACACATACAACACCTTTCACAGGCAAAAAGAGTTCTGTAAACCCTTTCGCAAACGCAATGAAATCACTTTCATCGCTCCTCTTGTTCTTCGCGGCCCTCAGCCATGCTATGGCTGCGCCTGCCAGTACGTATTTCAGCGCTGCAACCACCCCCGGA